GCGTTTTTTTTTTTTTTTTTTTTATGCAGCCGGGTGCCGGGATGGGCGGCTGATTGCTGATTGCGACCGGGTTGATCAGGCCGGCGTGCAGCATCCCGGTCCAGTGCGTGTTTACCTATTCTACTCGCTAGACGCTTCGGAGTGCGACAGTCCTGATCGCGATTCTGCTTGCGTGAACGAGTCAGCCGGGTTCGCCTTTTCGCTCCAGGATCGGTTTTTTTGTGTCTCCTGCGCCACGTCTTTTTCGAGATCCGCACAGGTCAGTTTTTTGTCCAGCAAGTGGAATTTTCCAGCCTTTTCCGCCCGGGGCGCCTAACGGTGACAGGCGTCTACCTTTCGGCTTGCTTTCTCTCCGGTCGGGTCTATTTAAGTCGTTTCTCCAAACGAAAGATCGTATCTTTGACCCAATGTTGCGAGATTAACTCGAATAATTCGATTTTGACGAGGATATAACGTCGCCTTTCCGAAGAACAGTAGAAAACNGGGGGGGGGGGGGGGGAAGACGGGAAAAAAGGCTAAAATACACACTGGAAAAAGAACACATTGAATCTAGAGTCCAGACTCTTAAAAACATCGACACGAAAAACTACTCTTGATTCAATTGGATTTTCGCTTGAATCAAGAACCAAGCCTCTGAATTCGAGCGGATTTTCTTTTGATTTATGCAAAAATCTGATTGAATCAAGAGTACTTTTTCTTGTCGATGTTTTTAAGAGTCTGGACTCTACATACAATGTGTTTTTTTCCAGCGAAGCTAAAATACGCAATTGATAAATTTCGAGACGTTTCGACTCAAAACTGAGTCATTTTTAGTCGGAAATACTATGCAAATTTAAAAAAAAATATGAAAACCTGAGCCCTACATGATGGTGGCCGGGATCTGAAAAAAAGAGAGAAATAATGACCACCCGATCACCACCGCGTGTGGCTCAGATTTTCATCGTTTTTTTTTTAAATTTTTGCTGTATTTCCGACTGAAAATGACTCAGTTTTGAGTCGAAACGTCTCGGTTTCTATTAATTGTGTATTTTAGCCATGTTTCCCGTTTCCCCCCTTGGTTTTCCACTGTTATCATTGTCTCGGGCTGCTCTTAAAAATGTGTATATCTCTCCGAAGAAGGAACGTAACTTCATCCCAAGATTGCAAAATTGACTCAAACAATTCAATTTTTTCACAAAAAGTGCTTGTTCAAGTTTTGTCCAAGATTTGTCGGATTTTTGCATGAGATCAGAAGAAAAAATCTGTGAAATTTTAAGTTATTTATGCCCCGAAAAAAAAAAAAAACGCCAGAAAAAAAACTCTGGTCGTGGAGGCCGTACTTACGGGCTGTATAGACATTCCATCCGCGTTCCGGGCTCAGAGGCTGAATTTTATGGGCATAGCACCCGCAGCAATCGAGGCTACGGCTGCAGTGCCCGGAAGTTTTGGGCTGTGCGTTCGGAACGGACAGTACGTCTATATAGCCCGTAATTTGTTTTTTTCAGTGTTCGAAAGGTTAATCCAGTGCAACATGCGTGAACGTAGTCAATTAATGGCCTCAGGCGACCCTTGCTAGAGACCATCAATCCTGGGTTGTTTTGCCAAGAATCTAACTCAGAACCTCCTGATCGAAGTGCGAGCGCTATATTCACTGGACTACAGAGCAGTGTCGCCAGATTGTGCTAAAAATACAACAACTTTTCCCATTTAAATCAATGTAAAATATCCAAAATTATTCATACAAGTTGGGACCCTTGCCATAGAAGTGAGACTGGATGACCTGCTTGTGATCAGAGGGAAAATCAGTGACTTTTTTACTTAGAAAAGTCAAAATTTTCACATTCAAAATACGAATCGTGAGTGGAAATGTTGCAACATTAAAACGTAGTTACGCTGTTGGAAATCTGTCCGGCTCCCCCACGTGGGATGAACGCTCCTGAAGAAAGTGTATTTTTTGCCTGAGAATTTTTTCCCTCCTTTTTTATTCGTTCATTTCATGAAGTTGTCTTTTCACCCGCCCGCGCCCGCCTTTACAAGACTTTTTGCTCTTCAATTCGTCGCTCCTTTGGTATACGCAATTCTCAATTTCCACATGAGCACCGGAAAGTATGGATTTATATGTAAAGCAGGTCTCACGTGAAAATCAAGACAAGTTGGTTTTTGCAATCGCTAGCGATAGCAATATTCGTCATGGGAACTTTTGCTTCTGGGATATGAAAATTTTAAGGTACAGTTCGTTTGTAGTATCTTCAGAATTGAAGGGGCTATATGTAATTTTGTGTCGACATCTCTTTTTTAACATTTTTAATTTTTTTTCTTTGCATACAAGAAAGCTGTTATTTACCAATTATTTATTTTCGTTGGATTATGTATGGTTTTTGGAAGTTAACGCATTTAACTTTCAGTTTCGTTTTTTCGGCGTAAAGTATGATATTTTTACTCTACGCATATGCCC